AAATAAACAATTTTAATTACTATTGAAACTGCAGCCAAAAAAAAAAAAAAAACCTTATTCACCTCAGTCCTCAAATGCTGCGGAAGGAGCCTAGATGATGTCGGGAAATAAATCCGCTAGTAGGCGGTGACTGTCTATGGTTTGAGTTTAGTCCCAAAAAAATCGGCTATGGTGTTATTTTTTTAAATTTGCAATTGGCAAACTGAAATCCAATGGCTCTCTTTCTGCAGAAATCCGGGAAGGATGGGGGAGATTTGGGTTAATTAGGAATTTGCACCATTTTCACCCGCGAAAAGCATAAATAGATTGAAAATATGAAAAATAGTAGGAACAAGTTTAGGAAGTGGAATCAACTTTCAATATAGGTAACATTGTACAAACCGAAGAAAATGATTGCTGATGAAGATAGAGAACTTCTCGTTGCCTTCAAAGTTTTGCCGCTGACTTAAAAGGCTTGTTGGGTTCCCGAACATGAAGAGCCGAAATTTTTTGGTGGATATACAGCCCCCTTTGAGAAATGGGAAAACTATGGCTCCCAATAAAATAATTTCACACGTAAATTAATTTTTTTCCCTATTTTATAACCACAAAATTCACAACAAATGTCAAATATGTAAGATTAACTATTAAAGAGTGCATTTTCAATTTGTTAGAATAATACTTTTGAAAGTTTTTAGTTGGAATAGAATTTTATTTTTTTAAAAAGCCGTCTTAATGGAATTTTTTCAAAAAATTCTTCTACAAAAGCACAAGTGAAAAATATTTTGATCGAGCCATAAAAGTGTATTTGATTGACTTTATTTTCGAATAGAAAATATTTTCCTACTCAAATTCTTACTTTCGAGGTATTTGATTGACATTTTTTTCATAAAAAATATTTTTCAACTTTTGGTCATATATCATATTTTCCTCAAAAATAAGGAAAATATTTTTTTTTAAAGATGTGTGGTTTTTATTTTTCCGATAATTCACCCCCCCTCATTTATCTCATCTACTCACCAATAAAAAAAAAGATATGTATAATATTTTATAGGTTGAAAATTAAATTAATTAAACACTTTTAATTAATAATTGCTTTCCATACTTGCAATCAAACGTATTTTGAGGGTTTTAGACTCTTCAATGTTAATCCCATTTAAATTGTTCAGCTAGTTAGCATTATCTAAACCTATCAGTAGTAGTTTAGTTAAATAACATTAATTTTTTTAAAATTAAAGAACATTTTAATTACTTTAATTTTATTCTATTTTCACTTCATTGATAACAAGTATATATTTTTGTATTTTTAATCTAAATATTTAACCTTCATTAACGGATTAATTTATAACTAAATAGTACCATATGATAGCTAAGTGGATAATATTTGTGAAGTCATTGAAATGCTTGATTGAAAATAAAATTTGATCATTTACAAATAATTTATAGATTAGTTGAATTAAAGCTTAATAATTTATTTTAGATTGGATTTTTTCTTGACAATCTCAAATGACCTCAATTTAAAAAGACCCATTTGCTATTAAATTTATCATCCATTTGAAAATTTTATAAAATGATTTACTAAGCATCATGATTCATGTCTAGAGTTGTTTTGATAAGGCTTATGCTTCTTGTAGAAAATTATCTTAGTTCAATTTCATCTAAAAATTATTCTAGTCAAATAGAGCACTTCAAAAAAGTTATTCTAATATATTAAAAATAATTTTTTAATCTCAAAAATATCTTTTAACTTTTTAAAAGTTGTTAGATTTTAAAGTTGTTTGCAATCGTTTGACCAAGCTATTGTTGTAGAAAAAATTTTAAAAGTCAAAAAGTTAAATAGTAAGTTAGAAGTCTTAGGGTTCGAATATGGAACAAATGAGTAAAAGTCGCCATATTTTCGCTAGCCTATCATCTAATTGATGCTCGAGCGATAAAAATAGAAGTTGCATCGCCCACTGTCGCTTGGATTTCGCTTGAGCGACACACTGTTGCTCGCCTGTCGTTGAGCTTTCGCTCAAGCGACAGTGTATTTCGAGAAAACCTAATTAGTATTTTTCAAGGTTTTTATCTAGTTCATACTATCCAAAATCTCTTTACTATATATATGGACACCGCCATTCGAAAAATACTGGTTGAACATTGAGAGAAACAATGTTTTGCATTCTTCATAATCATTACACATCATTCCTAGAGTTTAACCATCATTTTGAATTGATCATTGCTTTGAAAATCATCATCCTCACATAAACCAAACACAAAAACACTTACTTCCATAACGTCATCTGAGTTATGAAGATCAAGGAAGGTGATCGAAGTTTCGGTCGTTACAAACAATGAATTCTCATTTATCCAAATGATTAGACGAATTCCAAAGGTCGAGAGTTGCTACAGGAGCACTCAGTCCACGAGTGCTTTGGTGATTACAGTAAGGAGATCAAAAAGCACTAGAATTAATCGAGTCTGACAGTATTGTAAGTTGATTCGTTTATAGTGCAGGTAACTGACTTGGTCTCGGAGTTTTTGCCTAATAGGATTTCTCTATCATTTATTGCTTTTTTATTACAAACTGCGTCAATTCAACTTAGGATAATTGGACCGTTTGTTTAACCATCTAGAAACAATTTAAAAGTGACTCGTCATTTTTAATTGTATAATTTCGCACGTAAGATCGAACATAATCTTTAATTTCGCATAAACACCACCCCCCTCTAGGTGTTAGTTGAGTCGAACCTCATTATTTCAAAAATCATATCAAACAGACCATTAACTTATGCTAAACATCAATAATAATTTATTGATGATTAATTTATAGTAAATTTTAATATTTTAATTGAATATTTGTCATCATTCACGACTAATGAATGATGATTTAATGTTCACGGTGGACATGAGTTATAATGCCCGCCTTAGACGTGACAACATCCGATGTTATAATGCTTATTGTAGCTTTGGCAACATCTGAAGTTGCCACGTCCACGACAAACATTATAATTCATACCCGTGAACATTATATCAAAACTCTTACATCATTTCCCTTCCAAAAGGAAGTTTAAAGGTTAGTAATATGTCGTCATGCAGAGCACTAGAGTTGTTTAAAGCCTAATATTCAGTCATTTATAAAGTTTTCTAATTTTAAACCACGTTTATAATAATAATAATTAATTATGAGCATTTTATTAATCACTCTTCAATCAAAGTTCTAAGCATTTTTTTTTCTTTTTAAGTACAATTGTTATCAGTTTTTAAACCAGTGGAATGTTCACGTAAAGTCTAAAACTCCGCCTCGTCTTCTCGTGCCACCTCAATCTACGCCATAACGCTTTGGAAACCACCACCGCCCGCCGCCCTCAAGATCCTTCCGCTCTCCCTTCTCTTTCTCATTGGAAATTGCCTGCATAAAATCCTACATTTACCACGCGTGTATGAAAATTAGCCGTACCTTCTTCTTGGTAAGCTTTTCTATCACTTTTGCACTCTAAATCTTTTATACTACTTTAAATCTCCAGTATGCCTTGATTTTAATGTAATGTATAAATTCCACAGAAATAAAAATCCATCAAATCCCATGATCCCTTTTATTCGTAACAATCAATGGAGTTACTATGAATGACGAATGCGATTGTTTTTTCTTTTTATCGTCACCTGTTAATTTAAATTATCGTCGCTGAATACACATCTGGACATTCCATATTTATCACTTTTTCTTTACCATTTCGTTTTTGTAGGCATTGTAAATACTTGGGAAGAGCTTTTTGAAGAAGCTTTTGCAATGGGGATTATGAAAATTTCACGAGTAATGTGTCCTACAGATCAAAACTGCTCCCAATGGGCCCAAAAATATGCGGATTATTGTCTTTGCAGCACAAACGATGGAGTTTCTTTGGCATTGGGTCTGTTAAGTGTGATGGCCTGGACTGTGGCTGAGATACCCCAGATCATCACCAATTACAAGCAGAAGTCTACCCATGGACTCTCCATCTTGTTTTTGTTAACATGGGTAATTGGGTAATACATATATTTCTTCGTCTTTTTAATTGTTTTCTTTACTGCAGTACTTAGGTTGTAATAGTAGGCAAAGCATGATCTATTACATTCTTTATTTAATTTTCACAAGGTGTTGGCACCCTTTCATTAACGGAAGATGAGGAGCCAGCTCTGAAAATTCACAAATTTTGGCTTCACATAAATGTTTTTAGTAACATCATGAAGAAATATGATTTGGTCACATCAATTTTCATTGAAAAAGTTCTAATATAGCTTCTCTATACACATGTTGTGACGCCTTGTATTTGATTAATATTTAATACTTGAAACGAGACGAGTGTCCAGGGTTTATTTAAGGTTGCATTATATGGATGAAGGAAATACAAGAATACTCATTTTTAGGATTTCATTTAAATAAAAGGAGAATTGGAAATATTCAAATATGTAATTCTACATTGAGCAAAGTATCATGATTGTCTGGACATTTCTTTTCTTTTTCTCTTTTCCTTCCCCTCCGCTACCCAATTTTCAATACTATTGATGTTATCAGCTTCTCTTCAGACTGTAATGCAACTGCAAAAATATATGATAAAGGTGGAGATGGGATTAAAGTTGCTCTCTGATTCTATTTATTTAAGCGTGCTAGTATTTTAAACAAGATTATCTTTCCTATTACATCGTAAAACTCCTGTATTGAACTTGTGTAAGAAGTAAGAACTATAGTCAGCAGCTCTGTAATCACGTTACTTAGTTTCCAGGAAAAACTGCGTTTTTTAGCTTTGGATTACTCGGTCAGGTCCCTATGATAACCACGATAGTTTTATTTTTTCTCTAACTATCAGTTGTGTTTCCTAATAAGTATATACAGTTTTAATTACTAATTATACCATTTATAATTTCTTCTGCAGAGATTTTCTTAACCTTTTTGGCTGCACACTAGAACCAGCTACTGTAAGTTTATTCTTCTATGATAATAACATGAATGCATTTTTTTATTTCCAAATAATACGGCCTTATATTTACTCTCTCTCTCTCTCCTTTTTTTAAAAAAAGAAATGGGGTAACTCACTAACTTGTCTTCTGCTCTTGACTTTTCCATCAAGATGCCAACTTTTTCATTTTAACGTGTTTGCATGCCCAAATGGTTGGAACTACTGAATTAAGTTTCTGACCACCTCTCTAGATTTTATGATCTTATGTATGAGGGTGTTTGTCTTGTCGAAGTTAAGAAGATGAATTTTTTTTAGCTTTTCGATACTTGATTGGATATTCTAATATGTTTTTTGATCAATACAAATCACTTAGTTACAAGAGAGAGAAAGAAAATGGAATGGATCAGAGGAACATGACATGAATAAAGAAGCTAATAATTATAACCAATTTTTGATGAAATGAAAATTTTAGTAAAATGTTTAACTCTTCTTTATTAGAGGCCATATGGGCACTTTCGATTTCCAAACTATCATTTCAACGTCAATGGACTTTGACATAAGCCCTATTAATAGAAATTTAGGTGGCAGATCTTAAAGTACTAGGTAAGGGCCGTAAGGCCAATTCCTTCTGAATTCTGTACGAGTAGTCATTTAGTTATGAAGTTGTTCATCCTTTGCCTCTTTCTTAGAAGTATGTTACTGATCACTAACTGATTCTCATGTCTTACAGCTTCCGACACAATACTACCTGGCAGTGGTAAGAATGTTTTCATGATATCATTCTTTTTATGTAAAATATCTGATTCTCATTTGTTAACAGCAGATTTATTTCATAAATATCATTGTCTTCTCTTACTTGCAGTTATATACAGTAACTACTCTGATTCTTGCTGCACAAGCCATATATTATGGCCATATTTATCATGGATTGAAATGCAATAGACAAATGCTTGAGGTTTGAATTCATGATACCTGTTATATGATGTTTTGGGTTCCGTGGTTGATATTTGTTAGATAATCTATCCGTCTGGATGATATTTCTCAAGAAGCTTGGAGCTATTAGACAACAGAGTCTTGCACTTGTTTTCTTAACTTTCAGTTCTATATCATTAATGGTGCCCATCTAATGAGTGTGTCTTTGTAATGCATATTAAGGTTATACAAGCCGGAGATGTCGAAAAAAAGGATCATAGATATGGAATTGATAATATACAAATCGACAATGCACAGCGATTGGGAAATGCTCTGAGCTCACCTATTCCTCTTCCAGCCATTTCTCATGATAGTTCCCCTGAAGATCTTTATTACATGTAAATAATTCCTTCCTTGAATCTTTGTAACACAGATTTTTTTGTGTGTTCTATAAATAATTATCTACAACTGAAAAATCCTTGATCTGCACGCATGTGAATTGCATGACCTAATCAGAAGTATGATTTTGTAGCAAGCTCATTAAGAAACAGGTGAACATACATGCATATGTGTGCCAAATACTTACATTCAAACTCACGCACACATAGAATTATATCATTGCATGTAGAAATTCGACAGAAAAGTTAGATTTAGCACAGTCTAGTTGCTCCTTTCCTCAAGATTATTTATATTCCTCGTGTGGTTACCAATTTCACATTCCTTCGAAATGTCCTGAAAGTAGGAAACTGGAACTTCACGACTGGACAATATTTGTGTACTTCAACCCTGAAAATACTTCTCTTTTTTTTTTTTCCGGAATAGTTGCCCTCCGATCTTTTTACCGTTCTAGTTTTGCTCCAATTGTAGCTTTGTTTTACATCAGAAACTATGTAATGTGATTTGATGTCTAATATTTGAGAACATATCTCCTTATGTACACAGGAACTCTGACCCTTGACTTTCCAAAATAGTAGGATGTGCCTACATAGACATGTCGATTAAAATTCTCCAAAACTATACATTTATATATTATATCTTTATTTTGTAATTTTTTATTTTTAGTATAACTAGCATATTTTCCTAGCTTTGATTTAATATTTGCCAATGAAATCTTTTGAATTAGAGGTGCAACTATTTTTTGTATTAAGAGAACGTTGGGTTGTGCTATTTATTACTAGTGCTAAGGAAAGAAATGCATGGGATTGATTTAAAGAAAAATTGACACAATGTTTGTAATGATTTCTCATGTTTAAAAAAAAAAAAATCATAAATATTTAATTAAATAAAAATTTATCAAATCTATGTTTCGAATTTACAAAATGGTTGTCTCATTTATCATAAATTATTAAATCTTGAACACTAGGATATCCATTCAGTGTGTCGACATGTACTCAAGGGTGTTGGGGAATTGTCATCGGTAATTTTAAAAGATATATAATACATTGAACATGTGGCGTGGTATGTTGGGTGTCAGTGTTGGTATCCAGTAAGTGTTGGGCAATCTACGCAATGAGGAGTGTTTGTATGCAGAGCATCTCCCTCTCAAACATAGCCTCGCGAACGAAATTTCGATTTAGTTACTTGTATATATTGCAGTAGACTGCCTTTTTCCGTTTAACTAAGAGTTCATTGACCTGATGATCTTTTGTTTGTGCGTTTTGAAAGAGCTAGCTACTTAGTCTCAAGCGAGGCAGCTGCAAAGACATTTCATTCTTTGTATTTAGCCCCTGATTGTGTACCATTCTTGAAAAACCTATTTTTTAAAAAAAACTTATTTTGCACATGAACCTAAATTTTTTTTATACCTTTTAACTACACATTTTCCAAGAAATCATTGTTCCAAAACTCATTTTCTCCAAAAAAAAAAAAAACTCTTTTTAATAGGCATCAAACATGGGCTTAAAGTTACGGATTCCATGAAAATGAAGGGAGAAATTGTTGTCTTTCTGTTTAAATAAGAAGCACGGCTACTTTGGATTATATAATATAGTCTAGGATGCAGAGATTTTAGCGTTTGACACCACTACCTCGTGTATACGTAAAATTGTTTACAATTTAATCTCTATGGAAGAAAAGTTTTGACAATGCTTTTTGGAGTGGCTTTACATATCACTGGATGAATTTGAACAGAAAATTGAACATTTTATAACATGGATTTATCGAAAGATTATTCCTTGTGTATTCCTCCTATATCTGTAGAAATTCTAAGTTTTGCTCATAATTTCCCTCTCTCTCTCTCTATGGGTGTCCTTATCAGGTCAGCAAGATCTCTTCAAATTAGTCATACCCCTACTGCAGGATCTTTCCCACCTCAGAGAACTCCCGATGCTGAACATCTTGGTGCCAGAGAGCCATTGCTTGGTCAAGATAGGTCAACACAATCTGTACCTCCTGCGAAGACGAAAACCATGTTGTGTGTGGTGAGCCTTTTGCAGTATAGCTAAAACTAGAAATAGTCAGTATCGCCATCTATCCTTTTCTTGGATCTAGGTTTTGACTTTCTCTTACTTTAGGTTTCCTTAATGACATTCTTCATTGGCGGTATCAACCTGCAACAAGCAGAAACCAGTAGATATAACATGATTTTTCAAAATCCAACAAGTGGTGTTGTGTTGCAAGTAGGAAGACAACTTCTACAGGTAATGAAAAAAGAATATTTAATTTCTGCTTGTGATGGTAATATGCTTTGGTTTATGCAAACTACAACTCATCGTCTCGATTCATTTTTGTTTCCCTTGAATTTTCTTTTTTTGTGGATTTTTATTGACATAGGTTTTCCTATGTGGCTTACTCTGAAATGGTTTTTTGATATGCAAACTGTATATAAATGCAAAGATTATCTGATGGAGTCAATGATTTTGTGTACAATTGGAAGTTGCATTCTTGAAGTGGTACTGGCTCTTTATTATTTAGAAGCATATTGGAATAAAAGCTGGCATATATAATTATAGGTGACTGGGGATTTTGAACAACGAACTTCAGTCTCAAAGAGAAGAGAGATTGGATCAATCCTTGGTTGGGGAATGGCAACTATCTACTTGGGCGGACGTCTTCCCCAGATTTACCTAAATGTAAGCATAGTATTTGTGATAGTTATAATATCATTAAGTGCATGACTACCTCTCAAAAATTGAGTGACCTTCGCTCTTTATTATATAATCTTGTTACTACCTGCATCTAACTTAGTTGTTTTTGTTCAATTTCTGCAGATTAGAAGGGGAAATGCTGAGGTCAGTTTTGATAAAAGGACAAAAAGAGGAAATGTTATCACCTTTTCAATGTGTCCTAACTCTAAATATTTGACCATTGTAACATCTAGACACGTGCATTTAAATTTGAAATAATGTCTGATGTGTGTATGTACTTTATTATATATGTTCTTTTTTTTTTTTAAAACCATGATGGACTTGTTCATCAGTGAATATATCATTATGGTTTATGTGCAGGGGCTGAATCCGCTAATGTTTGTCTTTGCTATTCTTGGCAATGCTACATATGTTGCAAGGTAAGAAAGTTCACTGCTGAATTATACCTTGCCCTTCCAACATTTGATTTCTTTGAGCTTGTACATTATCTGATTTCATTTATTCTTAAGAAACAAGTTCCAGACAGGAATCTCCATTTCTAACTCATATTTAGTTCTGATCTTGTGTTTGTTGTTCTGTAGTATACTAGTTAGCAGCTTAAAGTGGTCGAAGATAAGACCGAATCTCCCATGGCTGGTGGATTCAGGAGGGTGTGTGCTCCTTGATACTTTTGTATCCTTCATTGCATGTCTACGCTAGAGTTTTTATATTCCTAATATATGATTATATTATATTATTTTCTGGGATTGTGTGCAATCCATCTTGAACATAAAGAATGATCTGTGTAGGTAGATTACTGTATATTATATTAAATGTTCGCTATTCCTTAATTTCTTGGTCAGATAATGATTCAATTTATCTATTACCGCTATCGGTCATCGAGAGTTGTTGAGAAGAAGTGTAGCTCGAATAGCTCTTAGACAATGATAAACAACAAGCAGAGGTAATTATGCTCCTCTTCAATTTTGTTGTCTGACAATATCTTCTCTGTGATCCTTCTATAATCCCAGATCATGTGTTTGTACGACTGTTCTAGGATTTAACCTCGGTATCTTTGTCGGACTCTCTTTTTTCCCTTCTACAGAACTTTAGTTAACTGATTTATCAGAATACTTGGATCTGAGGACAGCCTTGTTTTCCCCATTTTGATTGAGCACACATTATTTGGTGAGATTGTTGTGTATGGTAGTACAATTATCTTCACATGGTTTTCATATTATAAGCTCCCATGTGAAATGTTTTCATACAACTTGCCCCATCTTTGATGACTAAAAGAAAGTTTACTTTTCACCATTAGCATCATCACGTGGGCATCTTTATTGGACGCTTACTTTTTATTTTAAAGAACTTTATTTAACTGAAAGTTGTGTCTTTATCAGAAGATTTGAATCTGAGTACAGCCTTCTTTTTGCCATTTTGATTGAGTGCGCATTATTTGGTGAGTGTTGCATACAGTAGTGCGATTTTCATCACATGGTTTTCGTATTATAAGCTCCCATGTGGATTGTTTTCATATGCGACTTGACCTGTCTTTGATGACTCGACCAAGTTTTTACTTTTAACCGGTAGCGTCAAGATGAAAGAATCTAGATGTATTATGAATTTTGGGCGGCAATCCACGTTGAGAATGTTCAAAGGGTACTGTCTAATTTTGTTCAATGTCTACTGTACTATCTTTCGGAGAATTGGGGTGCATATCCTCGTAATGGTTTATCCAAGTTCCTTAGTAATATACCTTAACTATATTAGCCCGCCGGTAAAAGAAATACTTGACGATTTACAAGGAGTGATTGTATGTGATCTAAATTGTTCATATGTCATCATCTTCTGTTCATTCCAGACCCTGATCCCATTCTCTCTCCTTGCCAGTGGTTATAATCATTCTGTTGGAGGCTCGAGTCTGAAGGTCAGAGATGTTCACACCCATTAATGCAGATGACCAGCTACCTTCGAAATAAGAAGGGGTACCAGTTTTACCTCTAATTTTCTCTTTGATTCATTTGATACCCTGTCTTTTTGGGGGAGTTCGTTGCTATATTTTCATGGAAGGGATGTTCTTTAAACCCCATATGGCACTAGGAAACAACAAGAGCTTGTTTTGATGTATTCTTGATGACTCCATTGATATGCAATATTCTGTAAGAACGCTTTCTACTTTTGGTGACCTGTTTTTAGCGAGTCTATTTTAATTATCATTCGAGAAATGCGATTAATTCTTTCTAAACATATTTACGAGTTTCTTCTTTTGTGTAGGAACTCAAATTATAAACAGCAATAGGATTATTTGTCAATTTGTTGATATCGTAGGAAATTAATCTTTTGATTCTCCATACCATGAAAAATTTGGCCTCAGATTTTTATGTTGCCAGTGCAAATTTCCAGGAAATCAACAAATTCAGAGTGGAAGAATTGAAATTTTAGATTAAAACACTGTAGTCTGTACAGATGGTATGAACTATCCAAGTATGAATTCTTGAACAGCTGATAGTCTCTAATAAATAAGATTTTTGGGTTGATATTATGTAAAATATTGGTAATTTAACTGAACATATACATGGTTCAAAAGGCTGGTATTTTTAGAGTTCAGAATCTTATCCCTACCAACAATTCTAGAGTCCTTGAATCAGGACAAAAAATTTCAACAGTAATAATAAAATCCAATCTTGTGAAAAACAAATATCCAATAAATTTACCCTCAGCTCATAAATTATTACACATGTTGAAACTCCATAAAAACTTTAGAAAGACTTTAAAAAAACATTCTGAATGAACAGAAAGACGTGTGCTCATGCTATTCGTAAGGCATTGCAAATCTCATGCAGCAAAAGCAAGTGACACGCCAGTAGAGTAAGAACTTGCAAGTGGTGGCTTATTTGCTTTACGTGGCCTGCCATTCATGTGGCCTGTTGTGGAAATCAATGGCAACGGTGGGCCCTCTGGCAGGAATTTTAAGGGCAGCGGCCCTACGCTCACTGCCTTCTCATGTCGACAGCTCAACAACCCGTTCCCTTTCCTCTTGCTGGCTTCATTGCAACCAGCGCCATTGCTGCAGGCGGCTTCACCATTTTTCTCCGCCAATCTTTGCCTTAAAAATGCTACATTTCCAATTTCTGAGGCAGAGATGGAGAAGTTGGTTAAACTTGCCCTGTCAAAGCCCTCAGCGGTGGTGACACTCCAGTCGACACTGACTTCACTTGGTGCGTAACACTCTGTTGCTGCAATGCTTGGAGTCTGAGGCTCATCCAGACTTCTCCGGCCGTAAAAAGTACTTTCACTGCCATTAGAAGATGCAAATCTTCTTGCATTGAAAGTAGGATTGTCATCAAGTGAATCCCTCCTACGATACATTGGATACGATGTTGTCTGAGTAGAAAAGCTTTCAAGTTCAAATAAGTCTGAACTTGCATCACTTCCCACATCGTCGTCTGTGTCGTCAGTGGCTGCAACTCCAGATATGGGGCTTCCCGGCATTGTAAAACCTCCAAGCGGACCTCGTTGAGGATCCATCGGAGTTCTTGAAATCGATTTCCTCGTTGGTTGGAAAACTTCCAATGAGTCACGAGGTGGATCTTCTAATGGACTAATTGGTTTGGAACTTATTCCTTTAAAAATAGACTTAGTAGCCGGGCATGAAGGGCTCAAAATGGGGAAAGAAAAGCCCCCCGTGCCATCACCAAGCTGCCTTACTGGTGCTAATATGCGTTGTGGAAAAGCCGCGGTAGATGCAAAATGATTCTCTGATGATATCCTTGGTTCCCTCATTTCATTTGGAACTGAATTTTTGAGTGACATATTTCGTGCGTTTCCTGCTATACTCTCTCTGGACTTGTGGCTCTCATTATTTGCATACGTAACACGATCCGAGTCGGATCTTTCTTCTTTAACTTGTACACATTTTTTCCCACTACAGCAACATTTTCTTCCAAAAATCCATTTCTTGGCATTAGAACTTCTTTTCTGGCTATGATCAGGTGGAAAATTCCTCAACTTAACTGAAATAGAACCTTGGGGAGTCTCCAAAAGCCCCGTCTGGCTGTTCCAACTGGCCTCAGACGAGGCTGTAGGCGTAGCTTGGAATGATCGTGTGCGAAAATTCCTTCCACATCCATCAACTGAAGAAGCTGATGACAATCTTGGAACTGGCACTGCATCCGATGGCTCTGACGCATCTTTCTGATTTGTTATAGACAGTCTTTTACTGTCTTTTGGATCATTGCTTTCACTGAAGTATTTTTGGGCATCAAAAATGCTTATCTCAGTGTCATTTTCTGGGGAATTCTGTTTAGGTTTAGGGTAGGAAGAAAAAGATGCATTTGTAAAAATATTTTCTTGAACAAAAGATCTGTAATGAAGAGAAGTATCTACAGCACTAAACATAGGCTTCTGGGGGGGATTGTACTTTAGGGTTTTGATTATAGTTGGTGAATCCATAACAGGTAACACACACACAGATACACACTTCTCTTTGTAGCATATAGTAGACCTGAATATTGAGAAGTGTTTCTGAAATTCCTGACCACTGGCTTTATGTAGACTGGCTCCCTTATGAAGAAACTTATCAGGTGAAATATAAGGTTAAATTCACCAATGGCCACTCAACTTTATAATTTGTATCGTCATGATCATCCAATTTGCTTTTGTTTTATCATGACCATCCAACTTTATACTTAGTGTCACAATGATCACCAAATTTGATTTTATTTCTCCATGGTCTAATTTCATATAATGTTTCACTATGGTCACTCAATTCCATATAACATTTCATTATGGTCACCCAACTTCTTTTAACCATTTTCATTACTTTTAAAATGGGTAAAACGGTAACTTTATATATATATATATAAATTTTTAAAAATAAAAATAAAAACTTATCTAAAAAGATGTTACTTAAAAAAATAAAAAGTTATATTAAAAAAAAGTTCCTTAAAAAAAATAAAATAAAAATTTATTTTACAAAACGTTTTTCAAAATAAAATAAAAATTTATTTTAAAATAACTGTTTTTAAAATTAAAAAAAAACTTTTATTTATTTATTTTTTAAATTTTATATATATAATAAAAAGTTACAATTTTACCCCTTTTAAAATTAGTGAAAATAGTAAAAAGAAATTGGGTGGTCATGATGAAATATTATATGAAATTAGGTGGCCATGGTGAAATGTTATATAAAATTGAGTGATCATGGTGAAACAAAATCAAATTGAGTAGTAATTGTGACATTAAATATAAAATTGGGTGGCCCTGATAGAACAAAATCAAATTGGGTGGTCATAGTGACACTAAGGATAAAGTTGGGTGGCCATTGGTGGATTTAATGAGGTGAAATATTATACATGGTATTAAAAATTAAGGAAATTTTTTTGCAGTGGTACCCAAACTTTTACAAATAAAGTACATGGGTCTCTAACCAAATTTTTACAGCCTTTATCTCTCCGAACTTTCATTCTCAGTGCACATTGGCCCCATAGGAGGGAAACCGACAATATTTTATCATCACATGCTCGTATGTGTTAACTTATAGGAGATCCATTTGCTTTATTTGTGAAAGTTTGAGGACTGTAACTGCAAATTTGCCTAAAATTTATGCATAATACTTCCAATTTTTTCTCCAACCTATGAAAGAGAATTATTGTTATAATTGAGATCATGTTGTATTTTTTTATGGTCCCAAGGTTATGAACAAGTGTACTACAGTAGAATAAATGGAGGACCCTCTTGAGAAACACAATTGAACAAGAGATCAACAACTTGCTGCCTAATACATGAATCTTATTTGAATAGTTCCTACTATGCAACGCCGTCTAATGTTTTGTTCCTTTCACCAACCATATAAATGTTGTTCATACCATTTTAATACACACTCAACTGTGCATTAAATGATATTGGATTTTTCGTAACCTTCTCTATTTACTCAACAACTATGGGAGGTTATCCGTCGGCACGATTGTTGCTTCCTCTTGTGGTAGGTTTAAGAAATAAGAACACTTGACCAAATGAGGTAGAGCCAATTTAAGAACTGATTACATCATGTCACGTCACAAAAAGAAATGGAAATTACATGCAACCAGAATTTTAAACTTACCAATTCAAAATTAAGATTTACAAGGGGTGTGTGTGTGTGCATTTTTTTTTAATCAGAAAATATAAACACCCATCCACACCCCGATTCCAACTCCCAAACAACAAAACCATAATTCCCTCTCCCTTTTACCTCTTTCTTTATCCCTCCTCCTACCAACCCCCTCTCTATTTCGATCGATCAATTGGTGGCTTACAATGACGCCGCGCGATGCATCAAATCTTGCAGCAGTGCTCCTCTTGCAGTAGCTGCGTTGGAAGGTGGTGTGCCCAGTGGCACCTTGCGCGAAGAGCACCGAATCAGTTGTTCTAGTGGTGCACGACCTCTTGGGAAGGTGGTGTACCCAGCGGCTACTCGTGCGAAGATGTTCTGCGCAGAGAAGCAACACCATCGAGAAGATGTGTTGTTTAGAGAAGATGTGCTTAGTACTACCATTGTGCGGAGAAGCACTACCATTGTTTTCAGATCGTCGCTGTGGCTTCGGGATTTGAAGGAGAAAAAGAATAAGACTCGTCAAGACCATTGTTGATTTGTGTTTTGTAAATGTTGGTGAGGTGATGGTATGGTGGCGACGATGTGCTTGTGATGGTGTTAGCGATGGTGGTGAAGTGGTGTTGGTGAGTGTTAGTTTGTTTTAGTTGGTGGACATGGTGGTGTTACCGTCGGTTGTCGTGAGGCGACTGTGGTAGCTCGATAGTGGTGGTGTTGGAGGTAGTGATGGTCACAAATTATTCGATTGATTATGATCAATAAATTGATTAATGTGTAACGAATAAAATAAATAATTTGTGACCAATAAATAATATTTGAACTACAAATTTTTTAAGTTATGACCAATAATTTGATAATATTTGATCTAGAAACAATTTGTGACCAATTAATTTAATATTTTATGATCATGAACTAACTTGTGACTTATACATTTTGTGATTTGTGATCAATAAATAATATGTTGCCAATTAATTTGATAAATTTGTGATCGAAAAATAAGTAATGACCTATAAAATTTGTAATTTGTGATTATGATGTCCATAATTATGACAAATACATAATTGTGACCATACATTATATAATATTGTGACTTTAATATATTTAATTAATAAAATATATATTTATTTAATTATTTATTTCAAAAATAAATTTTAATTAATATCTGATTTTTGAAATAATAAACTTTGTTTCTTAATTTTAAAATGAGTTATACTTAGCTTATGTTTGAGTCACATTAAAATTTTCATTTTCATTCTTCTACTTATTTTCAACCAAACATTCTTCAATAAAATAATATTTTTCAACACATCAATAATTTTTTCTTCTTTTTCAACCACACATTCTCCATAAATCTATTATTCCAAAATACATTCTTCCAAAATAATGTGGTTCAAACAAACACCATTAATGAAATTTTCTCGGGAATGAATCTAAGGGTCCGTTTGATTGCAAATGTAGGAAATAGATAGAAAGAAAATAAATTCCATGGAATTGAATTGTCTAGAAATTGTTTTACTGAGAATTGTCATTAATTGTGTTTGATTGGTATAATTTTTCACGTGAAAAATATTTAAATTTTAAAACTTTTGGTGTTCGTTTGATTTTGTTTTTTTTTTTTATGGAAATTGTCAATTAAAGAATTTTTTTTTTTTTTTTTAATCAGAACCCGGAAAACCTTTTCTCACCATTCATGAGGGAAAATGTTTTCTACAAAAGCCTTGAAAATGTGCACGTGTGGGGGGAGGTGGGAAAAAGTTAAATCAACCCTATCAAACATCTAAAAAGTTAGAAAATGGAAAATCAATTCCATTTTCCATGGAATTTCCACCCTATCAAACACAACCTAATCTTTTTAGCACTAGTTGCATTGATTTTCAAAGGGCAGAACCATGATCCATGTTTGGGCTCCATTAAAATGACTTTTTTGGGGAAAATATATATTGAAATAGTAATTTTTTTAGAATGTGTGGTTAAAAAATAAGAAAATTTTTTGTATTTATGTATAATATTATTTTATGGGAGAATGTGATTTAAAATGAGTTTTTGAAAAAATGGAACTAAAAGGCTTCACGATCTTTCTGTCTGTCTGTTCGGCTGCAGATCAAAGCTAGACTACTAAAAGGATAATGACTTTAGTCCAATCATTGCTTTTACACTGTTATCTCATTACTTTTTGAAAAGAAATCTCATTGCAAATCGTTAAAAAAAAAAAAAGAAAAAGAAATCCTTTTTGGTTTTTAAAATTAGTGAAAATAGTAAAAAGAAATTGGTTGGTCATGAAACAAAATCAAATTGAGTGGTCTGGTGACACTAAATATAAAGTTGGGTGGTTATGATAAAACAAAATCAAATTGATTGGCCATAGTGGCACTAAAGATAAAGTTGGGTGGCAATTGGTGGATTTAACCCGGTGGAATATTATGCACGGTATTAAAAATTATGGAAATTTTCTTGCAGTGGTACCCAAACTTTTACAAATACAGTACATGGGTATTAACCAAATTTTTACAGCCTTTACGTCTCCAAACTATCATTCTCAGTGCACATTGGCCCCATCGGATGGAAACCGTCAATATTTTATCATCACATGCTCGTATGTGTTAACTTATAGGAGATCCATTTGCTTTATTTGTGAAAGTTTGAGGACTGTAACTGCAAATCTGCCTAAAATTTATGCATAATACTTCCAATTTTTTCTCCAACCTATGAAAGAGAATTATTGTTATAATTGAGATCATGTTGTATTTTTTTTTATGGTCCCAAGGTTATGAACAAGTGTACTACAGTAGAATAAATGGAGGACCCTCTTGAGAAACACAATTGAACAAGAGATCAACAACTTGCTGCCTAATACATGAATCTTATTTGAATGGTTCCTACTATGCAACGCCGTCTAATGTTTTGTTCCTTTCACCAACCATATAAATGTTGTTCATACAATTTTAATACACACTCAACTGTGCATTAAATGATATTGGGTTTTTCGTAACCTTCTCTATTTACTCAACAAATATGGGAGGTTATCTGTCGGCACGATTGTTGCTTCCTCTTGTGGTAGGTTTAAGAAATAAGAACACTTGACCAAACGAGGTAGAGCCAATTTAAGAACTGATCGCTTTACATCATTACATGTCACAAAAAAATGGAAATTACATGCAACCAGAGTTTTAAACTTACCAATTCAAAATTAAGTTTTACTAGGTGTTTTTTTTTTAATCAGAAGATAATTAAAACTTTGATAATTTATTTTTTATAAAAATAAAATTAAACACCCATCCACACCCTGATTCCAACTCCCAAACAACAAAACCATAATTCCCTCTCCCTTCCACCCCTCTCTCTATCTTCTATCTTTATCCCTCCCCCTACCAGCCCCCTAGAGGTGTCAAGACGGACGGACCGGCCATGACCCGTGAAAACCGGCCCTTGAAAATCGGGACCGCGGGCCGACCCGTGACCCGTGCGGGCGGTTCACGGGCCAAGGAGGTGTAAC